TTTCTCCCTTTGGTGTGTGGCAGAGCGGTCCCAATTTATACACACGCATGGCGGTGAAGCCAGGGTGCTGAGGCTGCTCTGGGGGCCGCCTCAGCTCTTGTTTCCCACTACCCACCCCAGCGCAGTCTCTGCTTAGTACCAGGCATCCGCCAAGACATGTGGCCCTGGTCCTTCCAGGCATGGGGGTGACTTGGGAGACTCTAGCCATATCTGGCTTTCCCCCTCTCCATTTGTCCACCTGCTGCTTGGGCCTGCACCCCTGGTCACTGTTGTGCCTCAATGCCAGGAGCTGGCTTCCTTCCCTGGTTCTGTGTGTCTCCAGGGCTGCTGTACTCCTGTCAGGTCTGGAACTCTCCACATGCAGGCACTAAGTGCCCATGACCAACAGGGGCAGGATGGGGACATAAGAAGGGACCGGAAGCATCTGCTTGATGAGTCTGGTGGCTTTGGGTTAAGTACAAATCCGAGTCCATCCAGGATATTCTGTCTCATGTTAACATCCCAGGTGCTCTGTGGACTTAGAAACCCTGAGTGTTACAAGGGGCAGTGTGGGTCCCTCCATCTCCGAGGTGTACAGGGGAGAGGTGGCCTAGACCAAGGCCCATGGCGCAGACTCTGCTGGTCACCCTCTGCTCAATCCCAATCCTGATTTCCTGCCTGTCCTGGCCTGCTGGATCTGGCCAGCAGGGACCACCACGCTTGGACCAAGGGTATTTTGTTGACCCTACTGGCACCCTTTAAGTAGCCACGCCTCTCTGACACTGCTCAGTTAGCCTCATCAGGCATAAGGTGGAGACAAAGAAGGAAAAAGCATCAGTTAGTGGGGACCCATGGCAGGCCCACTGGTGAGGAGGAGCATGTTGGTGTTGAGGCAGGCGGAGGGTGTGGGGGACAAGGTCAAGGGTGGCTGTCATGGGGACTTACCTTGTGATAACACCTACTGTGGGGATGAACCATGCACGGGTCGGAGAAGCTCCCTGGAGGAGGTGGCAGCTTGGCTGAACCCTGAAGGGTGAGGAAGCAGGTGCTAGCCAAGTAGAGAGAGGGTGGAGGGAGAGAGGGACAGCGGTTTCTGCCATTATCACAACAAGCAAGAGTTTGCTGCATTCTAGCCCAAGTTTCACCACCTGGTAATAATGCATTCCCTCTAGCTTCTCTAGATTTTCTACACTTAGCCTTTAATCCATTGCTTTTGTCAGTTTTGTCTGAGACGTGGCCTAGGACAGGTGGCACACAAAATTGTGGAGGTGCCCAGGGCTTCTCCGCTGGCCCTCACCTTGAGCTGTGCCCCACCCTTCCTGGCCAAGCACTACAGAGGTCTTTCTGTGGCCAAGAATTGTTTCAAGTTCCTTCTGCTGAGTGAGCGCTGTTCTCCCCTCTTGGTGCTGAAGACACCCGCTGCAGCTTCAGGAACTCTGTCCTGGATCTGTAAGGCTTGTGATCCAAGATGATGCTTGCTTGGTTGGTCGGTGAGGAATGCAGGCTCTGTGGCTGGGAGCATAGAGCACAGCCAAGACTGGGGAAGAGCTGGGCAACAGGAGCATACGGACAGTGCTCCTGGCATGGAGCAGCACTGGTTCTACACCAGACACTGCACCCAGATGTTTTCTGTCCTCTCTTGGCTGTCCCAAGATTATCCCCGTGTGACTGATGAAGATGTGGAGGCACAAAGAGCTCGGGAACTCACCTGATGTTCCCATCGCTTATTAATGCAGGCTGCAGCATTTGACAATCAGCATAAATTGTAGTCCCCAGAGTCCAGTGAAACACTGGAGAGGAAGGGGACAGCCAAAGAATGGAGAGAGATGGGGCAGGACCACACCAAGGCCTCTCACCATGCTGCAGGCTATAAATGGGAGCAAAGATCGGCTGAGCCACTTGGCCAAGGTCCTGCAACAGGCGAGAGGGAGGCTGGGCTAGAAATCCTCTCTGCTGGCTCCTGCTTCGCTCTTTTTCCCCTCTGCTGGGTAGCAGTGCTTTCTGGGCACTCTGCAGCCGTCTGCGCGGCCACGCCTGCTGCATCTCCCTCTTGGAAGAGATGCAGCCCACTGGCGTGGAAGCCGAGTGGACTGGCTCACTTACTCTCTTTCTCTCTCCCATCTCTTTCTTCCTTTCCCTGCCGTGTTCTGGAAAGGGCAGCGGGAGGGAATGTGGGCAGGTTGCACCAGAGATTTACATCTGAGAGCTGAAGGGAACATTTATTTTTAATTTCGACTTAAAAAGAAAAAAAGGAAGTTATAAAATATCTGCTCCTGCTCCTGGGACTGCGCAGATGGTGCTGCGCTTTGCCTAATAGGGAAGGGGGCTGGCATCACGTGCTGTGTCCCTGCCTCCCTGCGAGGACCTGGGGGGCAGTGTCCCTGCCTGCCCCACCCAGCCCTAAAACTCTCCAAGGCCCTGGGTGGCCAGTGCTGCCTGGCGTTCTCCTACTCGCCTCTCCAGCCTGCTTCTGCTGGTTTTCCAAACCTCCCTGGTCAGGCCAGTTCCTCAGCTGTCCTTGTTCCTGTGTACACATACACATGTGCACACACATGCATGCACACACAAGCACACACCTCTGCTCCCTCCAACTTCTCCCTTTGCACATAACCAGAGCCCACTGACCTGGTCCCTCCCTGAGCTCATACATACCCAGTGCCTCACATTCAGCATCTTATTTTTGTCATTGTGTTTATGGGTTCAGAACCCCATCCTCCTCTCCCCAAGTGGGTGGTGGGCAACATAGGGGGACACAGCTGGAGCTCCCTACACAGGCAGGAGTGGGACTGGATCCCTTCTTCCTTTGTGCCCCAGGAAGAAGCACAAAGGCCAGATCACTGGAGTTCTCTAAGTCTCCCCGTTTGCAAGACACAGGAGATAGTCTCTGGTTTCGCTTGGTCCCTGGAGTTGCTGTGAGGATTATGGTGAGTGACAAGTCTTTAAGAAAGTGCAATGTGTATTTCAGCGTCCAGGGGTTCTGGCATTGACAACTGGCTGGGTGGACAGGCAGGAGGAGGGGACTGTTCTGTAGGTCACAGAGGGAGAGAGAGAGAGAAAGTGGGCCTGGGTCCTCATTTAGCTTAGAACTCAGAGATGTTCCAGAAACGAGCTGATACCGCTTTTAAAATTGTGTGCTGCAGAACTGAACCCATGAAGATAGAAGGGACCTGGATGAGGAAGAGCAGGGAGGAAGAAAGGAAGGACTGAGGTTCAGGTACAGGATGCAGACAGAGGGGGTCTGTGTGTTGGCAGGTGTGGCTGTAGCCGTCGACTGCTGGCCATGTTTCTTCACAGCCAGGGTCCAGAGAAGCACACTGAAAACAAGAAGTGTGCCCTGGTGTGTTTGTCGTGGAAACCTTGGTAGTGTGAGCTGTGTGGTGGAGAACGGCCATCCCCTGGGTACAGTGAGCCCTGTGGGGCTGTCTGACTGCTCCCTGGCTGTCCGGGAACCTTGCCAGGGAGGAGAAGTGTGGTGGGAGGAGACGAGGTGGTCTGTAGCACGCCCTGTGATAGAAGCCCTGGATTCAGGGGGATGGGGTTCTGAGTTCCAAACAGGAAGACAGCCTGAGCTGTTAAGGTTTGGGGAGATAATGCAATGGGAATGCGTGCTTCCCCTGCTCTGTCTCCCCACCTCCTTTATTAGGCTCAGCTTCCTTGTTCTACCTGGCTCTTGACTGGGGGGCCCTGAGGCACCCCCATGCCATGTATACTATTTGGAGCCAGGGTAGGACCTCCAGAGGTCTTATCTTTATGTTGTGAGAAAGTGAAAGCCTGGATGGGGGGCCTCTTCTACCAGAGACCCCTCTGGGACGGAGCTGAGGTTGGAGGTCTCCTGATGCTTATTCAGTCCCCTGAACTGCCACCACAAAATAAAAAAACCCCATCGAGACTTCAATCTGGTAGAAAAACCTCCTAAGGCAATTCCTCATTGGAGCTGCAACAGCCCTTTTCCATTATATAATTTTATTCAAACTGATATGGGCCAATAAATATAAGTGTGTATGTGTGTGTTCGGTGTTTTAAAACATTTTAATGTTTAAAACATGATTTACTAATGCTGCTGAGGATGTCTCGGATTTGATTTACTGCATAGTATTGAATGTTTATACTTGTTCCTTACAGAAACTCTTGCCAAAGAGCCATTTTATGTACAGGAATAATAAATAAGTCAATATGTGGATGATTGTGCACATTTTCCCCATATGCAATGATTCTTAGGAAACTTGACTTTGCACACAAATGCTCAGAAGGTATATGGAAGACACACACATGGAGTGTTTAATGTCCCAGGCTGGGCCAGTGAGGAGTCCAAAAGTCACTCTTTATCTGATGCAAGACAAAGGAGTGTGTCTAGGCCGTGGGTGATATTTGGACTCAATCGTGGATTCATACTTAGCTACATGAAGTAACCGTGCTTAGCCATGTGTGTTATGTGTTTACTGTTCCCTCATCCATTCACTCACTCATTTAACAGATGTCTATTAGACCTTTGTATTTCCGTCTATGGCTTCTACTCAGTGTAGGTTTTTCTTTCTTGGAGAGTCTGACATAGCAGATACAGTTTCTCCCAAGTTCTGTTTAGAAACCTTTTGGCGTTTCTTAAAATGCTCATGGGGAGGATGTGCAGGGTATGAGGTGCTGGGTCACCCAAAGAGGGACCCGTGTCCTCCTGTCTGTGTGTTTTCATTGTCCCCTTCTCTATGGAAATACTGGAACCTGATCCCCTCTCCCCTGTGACAGAGCTAACAGTCACACTGTACTGCAGATTCATGGGTGCCTAAAAGGGGGTGTGTGTGTGTGTGTGGCTTCAGAGAGCAGGGATTTCTGTCACTGCAGGAGTGGGTTGTGCCATAAGATTTTCATCTCCCAGCCCCATGGCACCCTGTGCTTCAGGTCGTGTGCGCACAGCAAAGCGCATTGCTTTGTGCTGATCCAGCTCCTCCTGCTTGTGGTTGGGCAGTTTTACCTTGCAGAAGTGTAGACTGCCCCTTCAGCCTGCCTTCCCTCTGTCTCCCTCACAGGTGGTCGGTCTTCTCCTGCCCAACCAGACGCTGGCATCCACGGTCTTCTGGCAGGTGAGAGCTCCAGCAAACAGAGGGCTCTTGAAGGAAGCGCCCTAGTGCGTGCTGGTTCAGAACTCTGCCCTGGGGGCTCCTACCCTGCCCTGGCCCAGGAAACCCTGCAGATTAAGCCAGGACTTTGGCCTCACTGAACACGGGTCCCCAGCAACCCAACATGTCTCAGGCTGTTTTGTGTCACTGTAACCTCTGAACAGAGGAATGGGGGTTTGGGGTGGGCGAGTAGCTTGATGGGCACTGTGTCATGGCCTGCCAGTCTGCTCTGCCCTCATGCTTTGTCCAGGGACCCTCATGCTGATGTCAGCAACACATAAATCTGTAGGCTGAGTTGTGCATACCAGAACTGGGGACAATCCCATTCCTAGGGACAACGTGGATCATGGCTCCCAAGAATAGTACAGTGTCTCTCTGTGCAGAGAGAAGGAGCAGGGAGGAAGGTTGGTCTGTCCCAGGAAAAGAGGTCAAGATCTTCCTGAGCAAAACTCCTAAGTGTGTTTGTGTTTTTGCTGGAGGTGGTGCAGGACACTGAGCTAGGGACTGGGTGGGATGGGTTCCTACAAGGTGCAGGGCTGCCTGTTGCTGCAGGAACTTCAAATCACCTGCTCCTGTACGACAGGTAATGCAAGGCTGACGTGGCAGAGGCAGCAGAGCCACCGGGGCAGGGTGGATGGCAGGGATGGGCATGACCACATCCATTCCAGACTTGTGACTGCAGGTGCTAAAGCCAGCATGGTCCCCAGGAAAAGGAGACAGTCACCTGTGGGAGAGATGGAGCTGTCTGTGAGGCTGGACACTATATCGTGGCCTTCCTGATACCATGTCAGGTCCTCCCATGTCGGGGCCGGGGACCTGGTTTTCAGGATGGGGGAGGTGACCACCCTGACTGCTCTCCCCTTGCCTTGTAGTGGCTAAACCAGAGCCATAACGCCTGTGTCAACTACGCCAACCGCAATGCTACCAAGGTGAGTGGGACCACCTGTCGCCCAGGGGCTGGGTCATCCTCCCTGGGCCTGGACCCACATTGCCTGCTCTAGTTCCCTTGTATAAATGGCTAGCCCTCCAACAGGGGGCAGTAGACACAGCCCATCCTTGGCTGTGGCCAGCAGAGTGTGGGAGCAGGGACCCCTCTTGGGAGGAGCAGCTTCCAGGAAGTGACTAAGGTACTTAAAAGAGGAGTGTGGTGGGTGCAGGTCAGCGGATGAATTCTGCTGGTTTCAGAGTTCTTCCATGCAGGTCTTGAACTGGAAGGATGTCACATACCTGGGACCTAAATTCCCCCAGAGTCTCCACCCAGGGTGCCTAGATGCTGTCTTGGTATCCCCAGCTCCCAGACTGCTGGCCAGCAAGCTAAGACTGCTCCTGAGAGGACCTATTCCCTGGGACACCGCTCCCCCCACCCCCCACTCCCCGCCACTGAACTTCTGGGACGACTCAGGGTGAAGGCCTGTTCTGCTTTCTGTTGCTCAGAAAGGGCTGTCACACCCCTCTGGTCGGTACTGTCCCACCTCCCTGCAAAGGCAGAGGGAGGGGAAGGACTAAGGTTCCTTGTGGAGGCTGTTAGTTTGGGGTAAGGGAGGTCTCAGCGTTTTCTTGGGAAAGATGAGGGGGATCAGGAACTGACCTGGGCAGAGATTGCCACTCATGCTCCCTCCCTCTGTTTGGCTGATTCCAGGGACCTTAAGCCAGGCATCTCCCATGTTAAGATTGTAGCAAAGGACACGCTCCTTAGCTTTCTCTTGATCTTCTGGGTTGGAACTTGGCGGTGGTGGTGGATTTTTCCATACAAGCACTGGGTAGCCATGATCTGGTGACTCAGGAGCCCAGAGGCTAAGGCCCAGGAGTGCCCAGCAGCTCATCACCTCAGCAGTGCCCCAGGTGTCCCCAGCTACCCGATGATGTTTGGCCACCTTCAGCCATTTGAGACATCAGCACTGCTTGCCACAGCCACAGACACTCACATCCAGCTGGCAGTGTCTACCAGGGAGCTCTCTGGCATGGGGCAGAAGTGGAGTGGGCCCTTGGCATCTCCCTGGATACTGCCACCTAATGTTTCTGGGACAGGTGATGGACTCAGGGAGGTCTGGACCCCTTGGGCTTCCTGAGAGTCCCTCTCCTTAGTCCGCCCTCCAAGGCTGTCGGGCATGAGTGCTTCTTGCTGGCTGGGGCTGTTGACAAGTGTGGGACATCAGGGCTTAGAGCACCCAGTGGACCTGGAATTCCGCTTCTATCTTGCAGCCTTCTCCTGCCTCCAAGTTCATCCAGGGCTACCTGGGAGCTGTCATCAGTGCCGTCTCCATTGCTGTGAGTAACCCCCCTCCCGACCCCTCACTCTCCCAGCATCCCAGGTGAACCCCAGTGTGAAGGCCAGGCTGGACAAGGCTAGGTGCAGAGGTGGGGCACAGAGGCTTTCCAGGAAGCTGCTGTAGGAGGGACTCTGATAGCAAGAGCACACCTCACAGAAAGGTGCTAGGAGAGTGGCTTTCAAGGAGAGGGGAGCCTGCAAGTACAGAGCAGCACAATGTCCTTGGAGGGCCCATGTTCATCCCACAACTTATGCCAGTGACGCCAAGTCCTGAAGGCTTGGACATGGGTAGGCTCTGAAAGCTACAGGAAACAGAAACATCAGTCTCCCAGGACTTGGAGGAGAACAGCCATTCGCTAGAGGTTTGCAGACCGAAGGAATAATGGGTGGTTGGTCCTTGCTTGCCAGACAGGGCCAAAGTCAGTGGCACAGGTGAGGGCATGGGCCCTGACTGGAGCAGAAGGTCACGCTTTCCCAGAACCACATCCACATTTTTCCTCCCTGTGAGCCCACCCCCGTGCTGACATCTGGAACTCTCTAGGTCCCCTCTGGGTGGCCTCCATACCCAGTTCCAGGAGGGTGAAAGCTGTCTTTGTTACTCTGTCATCTCACTCTTTGTGCAATTAGCACATGGGATTGGTAAGAAAAAACATGATTAGATGTTGCGAATCAAAAACCATAACTACACAGTGAGAGAAATCTCAAATAACCATCTTTTGGTATAATCCACTTGCAGCGTGTTTGCAGTATAATTAAATAAACAGAATCATTGTCCCAGTGATGCGGTATTCCATGATTCATACTCTGTGGTTCACTTTCGCCGTTAAAAGCTTGAGGTTGTCCTGAAATGGCCTCATTTGTGTCACTCCCACGTGGACTGTTCCTGCCGAATCACTGTGAAGTGGGGCATCCCATCCTATGTTCATGATCCCGTTCCTTCCCTAATTCTCTTTGACTCGACACAAAGGACCCAAGCATTGCGGGTCTGTTTGGATGTGTGCCAAAAGGCGGCCATGCACGCCCTGGTTGTCCTACAGCCCAGCAGGAGACTTTTTTTTTTTTGCAAGTCAGAAAAATCAGGGACTTGCTGGGCTGAGGCTAGGAGCTCCTCCAACAGGGGGAAAGGATTAGTTACCCTGCTTCTTGCCCCATAAGATAAGAACAGCCCATGAAGGTCCAGCTTATCAGCTTGAAAATGCCCCTTTCTCCCTGAAGAAGCAGGTAGGGGTGGGAAGGGCAGTCACACAGGTGAGACAGGAGCTGAGTGACCTGGTGGGGACCACTGTCCCGGGGAAGGAGGCCGTTGTTCCAGCGGACTTCTTTCCCCTGCAAGGCTGTGTGAGGGGGAGTCCTGGGACAGCACCCAGCTTCTCTGAAGGACGCTCTTTTGTGTGCCCCATGAAGGACCACTTGCCATTCTGCTACCCAGGACTCAAGCTTGCCCAGATTCAGGCGGTAGAGCCCTGAAGCCCAGGCCCAGGGCCAGGCCCGGCCCAGGTTTGGAACTTTGGGGGCCCTCCAGGGATCCCAGAGCTGGGATCTCATCTGGCAGGGACTAGGGGGCCACCACCCTGGGCCATGTCCATACAGGTGCCACTCTGTCCTCCTCCCTGCCCAGCTCCAGGGCCACCTGCAGGAGGCCCTCCTTTATCACTGCAGCCCATGCACCACTCTCCCTGAACATCCTGAAAACTTTGGTGCACCCCACACTCTCCAAGGTGGCCCCCCCACACCATCCTCACATTGCCCTGCAGTTTGCATATTATCCCGAGCTGGTTGACAAGCCAGCCAGACAGGCATAGGCACCATGCCTTGCCCCCTGCAGAGGGCAGTACGAGGCACTGCCCTGTCCATACTGATTACTTAGGCTGCTGATTGATCACCGGCGCCGTGGCCCCTCTCCGCTCCCATTCGTCCAGTCCATCCATCCGTGCGTCTGAGCCGTGGCTGCAGCGTTCTCCTGCCTGGCGTCTTCACGCAGTGAGGGACTGACTCCGGCAGATGGAGTGGAGTTTCTGACTTGGAAAATCGGCAGCTTGCTTGCTTTTCTTTTGTGTGTGTGTAAATCCCAAAACCTCCGGAGAAGAAACCTTTATTTTCTTTTCCTGCCCTTGTTCTCCGGAACCCCAGGCCCCCACGGCCTCATTAACTGATCTCCACTTCAATTAGTGACAAATCCCCTCCCAGGGTGAGCCTGTTAGGGGGAGATGACCTGCAAACAAGTGTCACGGCCCCAGTGGTTGGCCCTGCTCTGGCATTAATTAAAACGAGTCCCTACAAGCAGGCAGCGCAGAATAGGGGGAGGAGAGAGCTGACAGGCCGAGAGCATGTCCCTGGGACAATAGCTGGAGTAGAGGCTGGCTCCCTCTGTGGAGCCTGGAGAGCTCTCTCCCCACCTCCGCGGGGCCCCAGACTCTGGCCAGCTGCCACTGCCCCTCATCCCCCACCAGGAGTGAGGCATGTGCAGGTGAAGACTGTGGCAGGTGTGGGACCCCTGGGGTGGGCTCACAACCACCCTCTGAACCTTCTAAATAGACTTGGCAGACTCTGGCTGCTTGCTTGAGAGTCCAAAAGAAATTCCGCCTGAAGTTATTTTTGAAATCTAACAGTTTGCTGTCTTTTAACAAAGGAAGCCTCTCTCCATCCTTGCCATGCTTGGTCCATCTTGGAGTTTGTGTCGAGTGCTCCTGTGGTCAGGCCTGGCTGGGCTCCGGCTGCACAGGGCATGAGATCCTGACCCTTTTAGGGGGCGTGGTGTGTGGCAGACATGTAGCAGGTGCCAGAGACTGGCATGGCCTTCACTGGGCTGAAAGGGGAAACTGAGCCCGGACTGTGGCCCTGTCCAAGTCACGTGAAGGGAGGGTGCCGTGGGACTCATGCAAGGCCATCTCCTACAAGGACAGGCCCACCCAGGAGACCCCATGCAGATAGGTGGGTGTCCAGAGAGGGCACAGCATGCAGAAAGAAAGAGAAATTGCAGAAACTGACAGCCAGAGTGTGGCTGCCGTGGGGGTCATGTGAGGGTGGGAGGTATTACTGACAAGAGCAGCCAGGAGCCTGCATGGCACTGGTGCTGCGGGCAGAAGTGAACAGGAAGAGTCTTGGATGCTTGGCAGCCCCAGCGCACAGGCCACTGGCATGGGCACAAGTGTGAGAGTAGACTTTGAGCTGGAGAGGGAGGCTGTGGACCGCAGTCCTGCATGGCCAACTGGGGGCTAGGATGCTTCCTGCCCATCCCTCCCCTGTTGCCCTGGAGCTTACCCCCAAAGTGCTGGGCCCTGGGAGGTCCTTCCTCTGTAGGATGCAGTGGCTATCCGTTACCCTTCACTACCAGGCAGCGCTGCACAAATGGGGGTCCTGTGGGCCCCCTAGGATGAGCCCAGGCCTCCTTGATGGTCAAGGAGTAAATAATGACACTGAGTGAAACTTAGTGCCTGCAGCAGGACCGTGGAGTGGAGTTGTTCACTCCCACCTTGCAGAGGAGGAAACTGAGACAAGGGGGAAGATGGTGGCAGAGCTCACTCAGGCTAAGCCACACACGCTTGTGCTAACACACAGATCCTGTTTTTCTCCCAGTCCTCTGCTGTGGCAGATGAGGAGGTGGGAAAAGCCGAAGTGGCCTTCTGAGCTTTCTGTGTGTAGACTGTGATCATACCCCTGCCAGACAAAGCGCTATAGGCTGCAAAGAATCATTTTTAAAGTTTAGTTATGAAAGGAAAAAAGGAGAGAGAGAAAGACATCTTCCACCAACCGACTCACTCCCAAATGCCCTCAATAGCCAGGGGTGGGCCAAACCAGAACCAGGAACCAGGAACCAACCTGGAAAGCTGTGCGAGTGGAGGGGACCTAACCACTTGAGCCAACATCTGCTGCCTCCTGGGGTTACATTAGCAGGAATCTAGATCTGTACTCCAATATAGGATGCAGGTAGCCTGCCTTGGAAGGAATTTTTGAGGAGGCTCTTCTAACCACCTTTACAGGTGGCTCCTGCCTTTCCAGCTGTAGTAGATTCAGTAGCATATGCCTGTCCCTCATCTGCCATGTCCACTCCCTCCCATAGGACAAGCTGGCTCGGGGGGGGGGCAGCACCCAGACCCTGTGCTCCTCTCGGGGCTCACAGGAGGCAGCAGGGAGAGCGCCCCTGTGAATCCAGGACCAGAACATTGTTACACAGCTCTCACTTCAAGTGGCTTGGAGTTTGGGGTGCCCATTACATGAGGCTCATAGCAGATGGTGGCACTGGTTGTGGTGAGTCATACAGCAATGCAGCTTTGCATCTGTTCTGGGGAGGACAGGTGGCTGTCCCCTCCTATGGGGAAGGGACTGATGGAATCAGCTTCCCTATGGGTGGCCCACTGGTCCCTGAGGGCATTGGGTCAAGGGGTCAGAGTTGATCACTGCTGCTGGCAGACAAGCCAGGAGCCAGAAGGGTGCGGCTGGAGCAGCTGACTAGCATTTCAGCTGGTACGCAGCTCTGCTCCCAAGCTCATTGCCTAGTGGCAGCCTGGCTAGGGTGGACAGCTGACCTCCACCAGAGCCAGTTCCGCTACAAAGTGTGCCCTCTGCTGGACATTTTGGGTACTTTAAAGATTCTTTGCCCTATCCCAGCCCTTGCCACCAAGCCACACAAACCCTATTTGGATAACCTTATTTGTTACCATGCAAGACTGGATCTTCATGATGACCCTGCCCTATCCCCAGCATGCCCCTTTCCTCACTGTTCTATAGGGAAACCTGGACACGTCCCCTTTGGCTGGTCCCAGTAGGATCCAGAGCTGGCTGCAGACCGTGCTGTGAGCACCTGTTCTTCACCCTCAGCGATACCACTCCCCTTCTAGGGAAGCCAAGCACCCTTTTTCTCAGAAGATTTTGTGGCCCCTGACCCCTGCCTGGCTCTAGCTGAGTGGCCGAATTGAGGCAGGTGCATGGTTAGACACAGGTAGGCTACAGACAGGCTGGGAACCACAAGTGTTGCTATGGTGGGCAGCAGGGGTTGCATGAAGCAGTTCTCCCCTGGGCTCATTGTCTCCTTCCTGCCTCAGAAATAGCTCTCTTGGCTTATTCTAACAACATTTTTAGAAGCTTTTTTTTTTTTTTTTTGAAAAGCAGAATTACAGAGAGAGGGAAAGCAATCTTCCATCTGCTGATTCACTCCCCAAATGGCCATAAAGCCAGAACTGGGCTGATCCAAAGCTTCTTCTTGGTCTCCCATGCGGTTGTGAAGGCCCAAACACTTCTGTCCTCCACTGCTTTCCCAGGTGCATTAGCATGGAGCTGGATTAGCAGTGGAGCAGGCAGGACTTGAACTGGGACCCTATGGGATGCCAGTACTATAGGCAGTGGCTTCAGCTACTGTGCCATGGCACTGACCCCACTAGAAACATTTATGAAGCACCCACTTGTTTCACCAGGAATTCAGTGAGGGGAAAGAGCCACAAGTCCTGTGCCTGGTGCTCAGAGTTGGTTGGGATAGGTCAAAGTCTTCCTGCTAAGTTTTTGAATCAGAGGCAGGTCTTCCTTTGACTCAACAGTTTGGGGGAGGCTGAAAAAAAGAGACTTAGTGACTATGACAGGCACACAAAGAAGTTCCAGTGTCTTTGAGAGACTGTCAGAGGAGAGCACTGAATGATAGTGTTGGGGGTAGCTGGCATTTGAGCAGGCCATGGAGCTGTGGGACATTAGGGCTCCAGCAGGGTTGGGGTGGGTGGCACCTTGTCAAGCTGCAGGGGTGGTCATGCAGGGTTGAGTGGTTCCTTAAGGGTCCTGAGAAGCTGATCATCCAGTCTGAGGCCGTACTGGTAGTTGCTGTCTAACCTGAGAGCACCTTGGCTGTTGTCACCAGATCGAGGGGCAAGAATGGAGGCAAGGAACCCCGTGAAGTGCAGGTCACCTTCTGGGAAGAACGGACACATGCTGAATGGTGAGAGTCAGGAATGAACAGTGTGGCTGACCCCTCCAGACACAGAACAGGGAGCTCCAACCCAGGAGGTGGCCAGGAGGGGCTCCTGTCTGAGAAGACTCCAGGGTGTGTGACTTGAGCAGGAGAGCTGAGACTGGGCCAGAGGATGGGGTGGGGGTGATGCAGAGTGACAGAGATGAGGCTTCAGGAGCCCAGAGGCTGTCAGTGCCAGCTACATGGCTCACGACTCTACAGGTCCACCCGGCCATGGTGCTTGGTGCCATGTAGCTTCCTCCCTACCTGTGGAAGCTGCTGGCTACCAGTCTACCCTCCCCTCCCACTGGCCTCCTGACAGCCGCCTGTAACCAGTTCACCAGTCAGGTGGCCAGAGCTTGGGCGGAAGTGGCATGGGTTGTTCATTCTTTAGTCTCTCTCAGGCCAACGCTGAACATCCTCAGGTCCTGTATCCCCCAAGACCCCCAACTGCCAGCTACCCCAGTGCCATTCAGGCAACAACAGTCCCCTGTTTGTCTCCCCATCACCACCAAAGTGGAGGCCTTGTTTGGTTAATTTCTGTTTTGTGGTTTGTTCGGGAGGCTGTTCCAGCAGACCCGAGGGGATGATCCATGGCAATTGTTCTGCGTCTCATTATCTTCCCCCAGCCCGATCATTAGCTCTGATTTTCTGATCGCTAGCTGCTGTTTGTGATGGGTTGTGTGCCATTAATGCCAGCTGGTTCCCTTAAACAGGACCTACCATGCCAGGGAAAGCGAGCTGGCATTCCAAGCCCCCAGTCACTCGGCTTTTAATTTTAATGGGCTCCACCAAATGTTCCAGGCCAAAGGGTCTCCAAGGAATAAGAACAGACGGGCCTGCAGCCCACCCTGGGCTCCTTCCAGGCTAGGTCCTGGGTGCTGGGGCAGTTGGGCCAGGGTTGCAGGCTGGAGAGGACCAGGAGGAGTGGCTCTGTGCTTCCCCTATGTTTATAAATCCCAGCCTGTCCATGCTGATAAGCCCCTGTGGAGCCCAGAAAGAGGAGAGCAGAAGAGACCTGGGACGAGTGCATTGGTTTCTCTCCTCTTCCTCTCCTCCTCCTTCAAAGAAGTGTCTACTTGAAAGGCAGAGTTGCAGAGAGACAGACAGACATACAGAGGCAGTGAGAGAAGTCTCCTACTCTCTGGTTCAATCCTTAGATGACCACAAAAGTTAGGGCTGGATGAGGCCAAACTCGAAATTCAGGTACTCCGTCCTGATCTCTCATGTGGGTGGCAGGGACCTGCTTACCTGGGTTATTTTCTCCCACTTTTCCACATTATTGGAGAACTGGATTGGTGATGGAGCAGCTGGGACTCACAGTGATGCTTATATGAAATGCCAGCCTTGCCAGGTGGTGGCTTTGCATGCTGGACCACATTGAACCCTATTCTCCCTCTTCTTCCTTCTTCCCTGGGGTTGGGGGAGGGTGAGACAAGGAGGGTCATTTACTCCAGACAGGATCACCAGTCCAAACCCAGGGGAATAATGGCTGGCCAGGGAGGGGCTGGCTCCAGGGCAGGTGGGGCAGGGCTGAGGGCAGTGAGTGGCCATGCTTCCTGCTGCCTCCAGCCCTGTCCACACACCCTTCTCCCCGAGGCTGCTGTGGGAAGAGCCTAAGCCCCACTGCCTGCTCGGTCCTGTCCATCTGCTCCATCCTCTCCACCTCCTCCAGCACTTCTTGCCTCTTCCCAAATGAGTGTGCTGGGTTTTGAACTTATAAGTTACCAGGGCAGGGATGGCTCAAGGGCTTGAGCCTCTCAGCGGCAGCTTTGCAACTAGCAGGTTGGAACCTGGCTCTTAACTGGGGAAAGGGGTAACAGGCTAGCCAAAAGCCTGGTAGAGGGACTTCCACTAAGAAGTTCCACTTGCCAGTGTGCTGAGCACCCTCCCTCCTCCTCCTCTTCAACTTGCACACCTGTTCTCTGGCCTCCTTGTCTGCCCTTCTCTTGGGGACAGAGCCACTTCTGAGTCCCTCGCTGCTGACAGCTCGGTGACTTGGGCTTGATGAATGCATCCACATGGCAGGGGCAGCTGGGCCCTGTGTCGCTGGCACCTCCAGAGCCTGCGCTGCTGTACCAAGGCCAGGTGTCTGAGTTGTGGCACATCTCCCACCCCCAGCCTATCCTTGAGTCAGAGGGGAGTGTGTTGACTGGTTGGAGACAGAGTGGCAGCAAGGCACTCAGGAGGCAGGCTGGGTTGGTCAGGCAATCCCCTGGATACCATGGGAACCTGGTAGGCTGGTACTGGCTCATCTTCCTGCAGCCTGAACCCTTCATCCTGTGCTGTACTCCACCTTGACCACTGTCAGTCCCCAGGTTCCCTAGAGGTCATCCTGAGGCAACGACTGCAACCCAGCTCAAGGCCAGAGTTAGTCCTGGGGGTGCAGAGGGACCTGTGGGCTGAGCTGTCAGGGCGGAAGGCATCACATGCCAGGTATGCATCAGGCTGGGAGTCCTGCCATGGCCCTGCTGTCCCCTCTGCTCGGGAAAGTGCTGGCCCCTGTCTGGGGAAGCCGGGGCCTCTGCTCCGTTCCTGACTTGGATGGTGCCTACATTTTGTCTTTTCTGTATCCAGGCCAATGTTCATGCTCTTTCCTACCCCAGATAGTTCTCCCCCTCTGCCGGGCCTAACCTCCTTACCAGCCTTTTGTGATCTCTCCGTACACTTCCTTGATTGTTGGTTCCCATGTTCAGTCCTCATTCACCACTCTAGAATATCTACTGTGTGCCTCTTATTGCAGCTTTGAATGCCAAAGATGAATGAGGCATCATAACCCCTTCCCAGTGCCATCAGCCTCCTGAGCTCAGAGGGGACTGTGGGCTGTGGCGGAGGCATTGGCCATGGGGGAGGGGAGTGGCACTGCCTGGGAGGGCTGACGTCATTGTTACTCGACTCATCGGATTGAATCCTCCTGTGTGTCATAGCAGTGCCCAGTGCTGGATATGCATTCCAACAGCAGCCCTGGGGCAGTGCAGCTCTCACTATCCTTTTGCACCGACAAGGAGACCAAAGCAGAGAGAGCTTGATATGGCAGGGCTAAGACGCTGCCACGGAACTCAGAGGACAGGGCTGTGGTGTGCAGGAGAGCAGTGTCCCATGCCCAGGCACCAGCAATGAAGGCCCCATGGCCAGAGGCTCAGAGAAAACACTGGCATTGAGTGAGTGGGGTGCTGCGAGAACAGGATGGGGTAGGGCGCAGGTTCCAAACGGTGAGGCTACTGTGTGAAGGAGGTAGCACCTCCTTCTGCAGGTCTGGGAGGGTTGGCCTAGGGCTGGGTCCAAGCAAAGAGAGCCTGGTGGCCTGGGTCAGGGAAGGAGCTGGGGTCTGGGAGAAGGCAGGGTGGGAGGCCAGGGCATCCACTATCCCTCAGCCTACTCTGAGCAGCTTGACTTTCCCTTACCTCAAAGGTACAGGGGTCCCTTGTGGGGTTTAGTGGTTGAGGGGGACTGAGGGCTTCCTAACTCACTTTGTTTGCAGACTGTGCCCCCCCCAACAGCAACAGCCCTGCACCTCCTCTGCTGTGTGCATGCACATTTATTTATGCTCTTCCTCCATCCCACAGGCTGGTGAACAGGGAAGCTGGGCACTGGTGTCCTGTCTTTAAAAACAGTTTTGTTTTGAGAAGCACACAGAGAAGAGAGGGAGAGAGGGAGGAAGAGAGGAAGAGAGAGAAAGCAAGGGCACTCCTATTTGCTGGTTCACTCCCCAAAATCTGGTGATGATTCAGGCTGGGCAAGGACCCAGGTTTAAAGCTGGGGGCGAGAAACTCAATCCAGTCACTTGAGCCCTTGAATGCCCCCTCTCAGGGTCCAAGCTGGCAGGAAGCTGCAGTCAGGAGCCAGAGGCACACAGAACGTTGAGGAGATATCATACATCATCGGATGCTGAGGACCTGGCAACCAGGGGTACAGAGCCCCCTCGCACTCTGCTCTTGCTCGCTCAGGCCACTGTAACACCATGTACTTTTTCTGTTGTTCTTCCTCTCCAAGGTGGGCCTTAATGTCCTGGTTCAGAAAGCCAACAAGTTCACCCCAGCTACCCGCCTTCTGGTCCAGAGATTCGTGCCATTCCCTGCTGTAGGTAAGACCTGCATGGTGTGCAGATACGCGTGTCATGCATAGGCAGGGGGGAAGTACTGGGAGGGGCTAGCAGAAAGCCAGATGCCCTTCTACAACCCTCCAGTGGGCTACAGCTGGAGGAACTGGAGTAAAACATGCACGTGTGAAAGAAAAGATGACGGCCATTCTGCTTTCAGTGCAGGAAGTCGTAACCTGGGATCAATAGACAGAATGTGAACTTGAGTGGGAAAGCCACTGACTCTAACCTCTAACAGAATTCTAACATTTCCTTGCATGGGGAATGTAGGCAGCCAAGCATGGCAGGAAGCAGTCCCTGTGCCTCTGTCCCCGGTAGAAACCACACATGTTACCAGCTCATGCTACTGTTGTTAAGAAGATCTTAAGATGTCGTCTGTGCTCATTGCTCATTCAAAATTATTTTTACAGAGATATATGTATATATATTTGTAAGGCAGTGTAAGAGGAGGGAGAGAGAGAGTTCTATCCACGTCCAAAATCACTACGATAGACAGGACTGGGCCAAGTCGAAGCCAGGAGCCTGCAATTCCATCTGAGTCTCCCATGTGGGTACAGGAGCCCTCATAATTGAACCATCTTTTGCTGCTTTCTCAGTTTGTCAACAAGGAGTGGACTGGAAATGGAGCACTATGAGTTGAATGGGCTCTCGCATATGGGGTGCCAGCGAAATGGGTAGCAGCTTAGTTCACTGCTCCACAATGTTGGTCTCATCAAACTTGAATACTTTGGTAGACCTTGTTATCTCATTCACCAGGAAGTACATAAATGTAAAAAGCACATCTATTACCAAATCATTAACATTTTCTGATGACCCAGTTGACTACGATCTCGTAATCCTCTGCACTTTGGTTCTATGCCCTCAGAATCATTGCTACTGGGGGTGCACAGGTTCCAAGCCTCAGAGTCCGGCAGCCCTTTCCTCATTCTCAGGTGGTTGTGGGGTGCATATTCTGTGTGTACAGGCATTCCTCTGGCTTTCAGCCAAGTCTCAGTTGGACTGGATCTATGAGCCAACAACAGGTGCTCTGGTCCCAGATCCTGGTGATGCCACAAAGACAGGCCTGGTTCTTTTAGAAACCTGTGCCTCCCTGTGCAGTTCTCTCAAAACTGAAATACATAACATTGAGAGCAACATGAGGCAGTTCGGTCTGTTGTCACAGGAGAAGTACAGGGGCACCTTAAAAACTAGTAGCAAATGGAATGAAAAGATAAGCTTCCTTTGATGCAAACCAAAAACAGGCATTCAGGCACATCCAGGATCTTCAAAATGATCATGGAAAATGAATATTAGAAAATGAAACTTTTTGCATCAAGATAAGCTCATCTTCAGTTCCATCTTCCCAGTAATCTTTGAAATCCCCTCAGAAAGGAGGTACTGGAACCATCACGATGGAGTCCCCAGCTAGTTCCACAGGACAAAGACGGGACTGGCCCCGCATGGGCCTTAGGTCCTGTCACCTCCCAGTGTCAGGCTCCCAGTCTGAAGTTGGGAGATAGACCCAGGCCCAGGTGCTGGTCCTGTCCTTTACCTACGGGCCTGGGCCGGTACCCAAGCTTGGGCGTAGGCCTCAGGTGACCCCGAGGTCCCAGAGGAGCTCACGAGGCTGTGGACCAGGTGGCATGGAGGGAAAGTGCTCCAAGCCACGGACTGCTCCTGGGAGGAGGGGGAGGTCGTTCCTGTACAGCCCCACCTTCTCTGTGCCCCAGAGGCTAATGAACTCCAGAACCTACCCCCGCCTGAGACTCTGCCAACCCAGATAATTGCTATAGCAACTCCACACTTTTAATGAACTCTCAGCTATTTCTGTCGCGGGCCATTAATGGAATAACTCTTTAGATGTGACTTTGTTAAGGGGCCTAATTGAGCAAACGTGGCTGCCCAACTGGTGTCGGGCTGGGGGTCAGAAGCAGCCTGGGCAGGGGGCAGCCTCCAGCTGCACTGGACTGGATCCGAGGCTCAGGGTAGATGTAATCTGTCTCAGGCCAAGCTGAAGATAAGAACTTTGCCAGGGGCCCATTCCAGCCCTTCCCAGCTGCCATCTTGCTGTGTGACCTTGGGGTGTATGTAACCTCTCTGAGACCCCTTTAGGAGAAGTCTTAGACCCTCTGGCCTCTGGGCACCAGATGCACTACCCTCCCGTCTTCTCACTAGGAAGGCACTTTCAGGCTGCCCACACAGGTCCAGCCATTGGCAGGTGTCAGAGGACCCTGGGTATCCCCAACCAGCTGCACAGGTTGCACACAGCATGCTTTGCAGCCCTAGCAACCATAGCTCACCAGGATTCTGGGAGAAGTAGGCCCTTGCTGCTCACCTCCTTAGGCCCAGCTGTCCGAGTCTTGGCTGTGTGCTGGCCTGCTTGCCACCCTTGACCTCTATCTTTCCTCTCCCCCGTGCAGGCTTCCAGACTTCCAGGCTTCCATGCCTCTGGTTTCCCCGGCCCATCCCAATCCCAGTTGCCCAATGGTCGGTTGTTGACTGACCTGGTTACTACTGTGTGAGATGAGTGGGTGTTCCCTCTCTTTCAGGGACTCAATGACCCTCTGGTCTCCTCAGACCTCAGGCTGTCCAGCCCCTGCCCTTGACCACTCTGCACCATACCCCCAACACCCTGGCCAGGACCCAGGATGTCTGAAGCACATGACATGCTGATGGAGCCTAGGTCCTACGCCGTACTCCTGCCTTTTGATACAGGCTGGACCGGGGCCTGGCCAGCATTGACAGCTGCTGAGATACTGGCTCAGGATGTGCTTTCCCTTGTAGAAGGCACTTTGCTTTGCAGGTCTCTGGCAGCGTGGAGAGGCAGGACCGCTGGAGTATAGTGACACGGGAAGTACTTGGATGGAGTGGAAGTGGAGGAATGAAGCTGTCATGCTGGGAGGGGTGTGTGTGTGTGAGTATGGCAGGGTTCCTAAGCAGGCTGCTGTCCCCTGTGATGCCCACCTTCACAGGCAACTGTCACTTAAGCTCTGGGAGAACAGGAGGCTCCTGGGAATCTGTGGCTTCCCACCCTTGGTGCTCCTGCCCAGCCTGAGGCCTGGGAGAGCAGAATGCCTGGTTCCTGCACCTCTCCCATATCTCCTCCTCCAGGAATGGAACCTTTCCTCCCCAACGGGGCCTCCTGGCCAACCGCCTTGGGTCTCCCCTGGGTTTGCAGAGTCCCACACTCCCAGGGGCGGCACAGCTCTGCGAATGACCCCAGCAGGCCTCCCTTCTCTGCCTTGCTCTGTGCTGGGAGGACCAATAGGCAGGGCTGCCATTTCCCATTTTACAGGAGAATAAACAAATTCAGTCTTGCTGAAAGTGGCATGGAGCTGACCAGAATAGGCCAGGACTTTTTTCAGGCCCACCTGGGTGACCCCTAGCCTCCCTGGAGCTGGGAAATAGAGGGGCACGAGTCCAATCGCTGTCTCCAGATGTTCCCTGGGTTTTCAGGTGGGGGCATGCGTTCATGTGCTCAGGTGTATGTGTACCTGATGTGTGCACTCCTGAGCGTGCCTAAGCCTTGGCATGCCGGCCGCAGCTTGCCGCACCCCAGTCTGGAGCAGCAACCACGTGGGAAATCTCCGTTTCTATTTCTAACCGACGATGTCAGCAAAGACACTGAGCCCGGGCGCATGTGTGCTGGCATCAGAATCGATTGGGGACTGGTAATTAATTTGTTTAGACCTTAATTAATTCTCCAGTTCTTTCTTATTTGTGGACTGTCACGCTTAATTGTGTTCAGGAGCTCGGGCTCGGAGCAGGCCCTCCATTAACTGCCATGTGGCTGCGGGGCGGAAGTTAATGGTGTGGGAAGCTGGGCAAACAGCGTAATTAAAGGTCAGGAGAGGAGGCCCTGGAGGACGGCCCCCTCCATCCAGGCCCAGCACCCCCACCACAAGCAGACACCCTCGATGTGTTGGCCCAGTGACACCATGGTTTCCCCCTGGCTGAAGCCCCCACCCCACCATTCCTAATAGATGTGTCTCTGGCTAGTGCCCCTTGGAGACACACACCTGGCCCTCCTCTGGCTGGTGACATGCCCATCGTTCCTCTCCCAAGACTTCCCTGGAAGGCTGTGTGTGGGGCCCATCTCCTAGAATGGAGTCGGCTGTGGGAGGAGGGTGACCAGATTCTAAGATTCTCCAGCATTCCGGACATTTAGTCTGGATTGTTTTCACTTGTCAGGAGCCTTCTTGAGTGATCTGTTCCTGGCAGCTGACTTTGCAATTCAGAAATGCCCAGTCCTGAGTTGATGACACTTCTATATGGGTTGTGAAACACGCCCAAACTCTCTAGCTATTTAAAAGAAACTGCACTAGTCCACACTGCCTCTCTGGAGGAAAGTGCTAGGCTACCCACTCGTGCTTGATGATCATCTCTTTAATGGAAAGGGGTTGGGTTCTGCAACTCCCGTGTGAAATGTTATACGTAAAGGTTGGACAGGGACACTGTAAATACACAGCCCTCCCTGGCAGAGCAGTAGAGCCTGCCCAAGGTGGCTGTGCCGAAGCAGAGCACGAAGCTAAGGGCTAAGGCTGGAAGTGGGCTTCCACTTTGTTGCTGACACTTTGTTGTGATTTAAGCTGCTTAACAAGTGCTCATGCTACCTGCAAAATAGAGGGAGGAAAGAAGAAGAGAGAGGGAAGGAGGAGAAAGAACAGAGAGGGAAGGAAGAAAAAGCAGAGCGAGGATGGGAGGACAACAGTGTCTTTGCCCTTGAAGAGGAGGAAGTGGAATTGAGGAACATTTGTCCAACATCAATCTGGGTCCAGATTGGGAACTCAGTTCTTTTGGTAGCTTCTATAGAGGGCTTTTCTTGTTGAATGAAAATGGCCCTTTCTTTTCCTCATAGGACATAATTGTGGTAATGAGTTAAGCAACCTTATTTCTCTGCCCCAGAACCAGTCTAGTGTAGCCTTGGCAGTTTAGCTGCATGCCTGCAGTGGTATTGGTCTCTGCCCTGTGTGTGTCTATGTGCAGTGGAGCCAGGCCTACACAGG